TCAGCAATAAGTTCATTTTAACAGGGTAGAGTGTGTGTGTGTGTAACCCAGACGCGGTTAGGTTTATAATGCCTGATAACATGGAAATAGCCACACAAAGACAAAAGCCACTCAATAAATGTCCACATTTTATTTATATACACGTAGGACTTTATGCACAACAGGAGAGCTAAAGGTGCAGTGAATGGAGTTAAGATACTGTTATTTCTCATGCCCAAAAGCACTGAAATAAAGACTATGGAAAATATACTAGAAATTTGTAATATGACGCAGCATCCCTCCCAGGCAAGTCGAAAGGGACAGGCGGGAGCCACTCCCTCGGGTGCAGGTCTGCTCCTTGCTCTCACAGTATGTAACATTTTCTCCCTTTCAAAGCAGTTCTCATAGAGACCATTCTGCCCCTACACTTCTCAAAAGTATAAAAAAACAATAGTTTGCTCCTGAGATAAGCATGCAGTAATAGTACAAATACAACCAAAGCCGGAACCTGATGAAATGACTCTTTCCAGACTTACTGTAAAGCAAGCAAAATACATAAGCCTTGAGTCTTTCTCCCCCTCCCCTCAATCAGAGAGTTGTTTTTTTTAAAAAAAAAAGAAGCCTGAAAGCAATAAAGCTTGCCTCTCTTTTTAAGCTTAAAAGGTAAACTGTCTGTTGAGACCCTTTTCCAGCAAGCAATAAAGCAGGGTCCTTTGCACTGGCACTAGAGCAGCTCACACCCCACAGATTGCACCTCCACGTTATATCCCCAAAGCCGCAGAACGTGTCGCATCGTCAGGTGCCATGGGCTTGCAGCAAGCTGCTGGGTGTAGCTCCCAAACTAGATCTTAGCTGGCTAGCGAAAGTGCTTTCCCCCCAGTGGGAACTTCTTTTTGGCCTCTTCAAGCAACAGCGACAAATTCAATCTGTGAGCAGCAAGTAGGCAACTGGACTCGGATTCACTTTCTGATTTGGTCCTCTGTGGAAGGAGTGGATGCACATGGAAATGTAGCTGTGGAAAGGATAAGGCTACCGAAATCGAAACTAGCGTTCAGTCTCTACCAGCGTTTAGCAGAAAACTTGGAAAGGTTTTGTTCTCTCAACTTTCTTAAGGTGCAAAAAAAATGGTGAAGAGTGTTGCATCCTAACGCAATATGGTCTCCGTGACACGGAGATCTTCCTTGGACTCACAGACTGAAGAGTCTCCAAAGGTCAGCTCAAGAGGAAATATATTGGAACAAATCTTTCAAAAAGACCACGTAGCAGTTCCAGGCTACAAAAGGTGTCGGTCAAGAGCACCCGTTCAAACTGAAAGAGCACAAGCTAACTTAACAGAACAAGATCAAAAACTGATAAAAAGCACAGTGAGTAGTAACCTTAGCTGAAGGAAAGAAAGAGACACTTCCATGGCAATAACTGCCAGCCATATAAAATAAATTGAATGGTGAACTCCCGTTTGGCCTTTATTAGAAAGATAAGAGAACCGTGCCTATGTATGCTAACAGTGCCTATGTATTGCTAGAAAGAGAGCTGGCTATGTATTCCGGAAGGCTGAAAAGCTGATTCATCATCTATATGAAGGCAACTACACAGTACGTGCAAAATCCTGCTATAAGAGCCATCACTATTGGACATAAGTATCAGCAAACCGTAAAGGGCAATAAACAGACTCTGCTGTTCCAGAAGGAACAGACTGAAAAGTTTATTTACAAGAGTCCTCAAAAGAGGACTTGAATGTATATAATGCATGCAAAATGGCTTTTTTGAATACAGCTCTCCTGATCAGCATCCCCTTTAACCAAGCAGGTTCAAACTCTCACATGGACCCTCTGTGCATCTTAATATTGGATCGAGTAAACTCCTGTTTTCTGATGAATTAGAAAATACAAGGGAAATATCAATACCCCAGGCTTAACCACAGGAAGAAAAGGACAAGTTGCTTTACGTCAACTGAAAAAGCCCGCCAAATGTTACCCGGAGAGTTTTGTTTTTATTTCTGCGAATTACCTCCGAGATCTCCACAGCATCTGCAATAGAGCTTTCCAGTTCAGGGACAACGGCCCTAAGTAGCATGAAAATCCTGATTACTATTTTGTGTTATTCTATCTTCAGTCATGAGGTAGAACCTACAGAGAAGTGGCAGATTACCATCAATGGTCAATGGCCTCTGTGGTTTAAAAAAAAAAAAGGTTTGGCTGCAACACTGAATGTTGCATTTTGCTTTACTGATTATGTTAGCCTATTAACAGTAACAAAAACAGAAGATGAACTAATGCTGTAGAAAAAGAAAACATAGGACAAGTTAACTTTGTTTTATGTAGATTGAATCCCATTTGTTTTTGGTTTAAGGAAGAAAGAGACCATGGATATTCAAGCATCTCTGGCCCACTTACCATGGGACATATTCTTTCTTGGACCAAGTTCCACAGCTGTTATGTAAAACAGCACCAACAGGAACATCTACTTGGCAGTTACGCGTAAGAGATCCATAAACTATTTAACAACACAACCCCGGAAGGGCTACCAGAGACCTAGTATATTCCTTTCGTTTGAAAGGTGCACTTTTGAACTAACTACCACATTTCTCAAGGCATGTGGAAGAAAGTTGAGGAAGGCAAATATTTAGTTTTCTATCTTTGGACTTGTTGTATATCTTTCGGTGCCTTTTAGAAGGCCCTATCGCCCTACAGACGTAATTTCAATTCAAAGCAAATGCCAGGCTGCAGAAGATGGGTTTGCCAAATGCCAAAAGGGATGGATGCCGTAAATCTAATTTGTATGATGAAGTCTACTTGAATTCACCCGTTCTGACAATCTGGATCTTTTCCTAATAATTCCTATGAATGTTTCCTTACACAGTTTTACCTGTACTCTCCTCTCCCAACCACTTTAGTGCTGATAAAACTGCCCAGAAGCATATGTACACATTCATACATAAGCTCTGCAAAATAAAAATAAAAAAAATTAAGGGCACGTGTATAATAAGCACCCAGGCTGATAAACTAATTCCATCTGTAATTTCTGAGCTTGGTTGCTTTAGCAGTAAAAGTTCATCAAATATACAAGGTACTCGCCAAAAACAATAACTGTCTTTTTGCTTATCTTGAAATCGAAGATTTGAATCTGGAAAGCTTATTGCTATAGAACAAAACTGTGCTTTACACTGTTTGAAAGCAAACCACAATGCTAAAATACTGACCAAAACATATTCTTACTATTTTTGTACTTCTGCACTGAGCAAAAAGAATTACTAGTCTTATGAAAACCTGGAACAGGAAAAAAAGCTATTTACAAGCTCTAGAACGTGTGGTGTAAAAATCTGAATGGTTCAAAAGTATTTTATACACATCTGTTTTAAAACGAGGCAATCATTAGACAGGAAGTAAACTCCGCCGAGTGGCTTTCTAGATCGATTTTTGTTGATAACAGCTGACGGGATAAAAAAATCCCTTCCACCCTTCAAATTTTTACAGATGTTTTGAAAGGTACTGTTGATCTAAAACAGGAGACAGAATATGGTGCCACAATCACAAAAATGTCAAGAAGTAACTCACAGAATATATATTTTTTAAAAGATCCAGGAATCAAGAGTAATGCCCGGAAGGACTGCATTACTTTCTTCCCAGCACAAAGATCTTTTTGCCTTGTGAAAAAAAAAAAGCAAGACCTAAGGTTAGTCCTGAATGGTCAATGCACCAAGGTGACTCTCTCACCTGCCTTTCAACGTAGCCTCAGCAAGGTTTGCTTCTGCAGGTCCATATTGGCACTATAAAAAGCTCAACCAGAAGTTCTTTGATGAAAAACAAAAAAAAATCCCCCAAAAATGCTTGCAGGTATTTGTATAAAGGCCATAAACACCCCAAGGGAGGCACAGATTCTACACGAGGAGTTTTAGTCAAATACTAGTTCTTCTTAAAAACGTCCACAATAGAGTCGCAAGATCACTGTCCTCAATATTAATAACATCAGTTCCCTACGGTAGCAAATCCCTTCCCACAAAGTGCATTTTCCAAGAGGTCTAGTAGCGCATTTATCTCTGCTAGGCCTAGCCTTAACCAGAGCAACCATTCTCTATGGTCCATTCAACACTTCTTGGTGCTGTGTTTTTGCTTGCAAGAGCTGCAAATTTTCTGTTGTGATATAAACATATATATATATATATATATATATGTTTACTAACTGTAGGAATAAGGCCAGCAAACACCAGCTCCCTGAGGTGAAGACAAGCACAGGTGATAGTACTCTTTACCAGAAGGCCATCCTTCAAAGCCAAACAGGTTCTTCCATCCACAGTGGGAACGAGTCTTCAAAACAAAAAGGCCAACTTCTCATCAACTGCCTCTTGAGTGCTTCACTAGTGTGGATGGAAGCTGTGTGGAAAATATCAGTTTGGCAGGGAAGGCTGTTGAAAGGGAAAGGGAAAAGGGAAAAGGGAAGGACCATTCAGCATCACAGGGTTTAGGTATGATTGAGGCTGGAGAAGAGGCTACTGGGTCTACCAGAGGAAAGAATTCATACCTGATAAAACATCATTAATCCCAGAAAGTATTTTAAGTATTTTTTTAGCTACCTTAGTGTCGTGTGAAGACAGACATCAAGACCCACTGTTGTGGACATCTGATTAGGTATTCCTGGAATTAACCATTTCAGTCAACTGCAGGAAATTGGGGAGGTATGGAAGCTTCATCAAAATGATGCAAAGCAAAATCATTAAAGCATTGCACTGGTTTGCCTTTGGTCATTTATTTCCCCAGTTGGGATGACCGGTTAATGACCAGGTTGGAGAAGATAAATGATATATTATATGTTCCCTCTAGAAGACTATTTCACATCTGCTCAGGGGCAAAAACGACAGAGTAGGGCCTGTGTAAATCATGTGCATTGATCAGCCCCCAAAGCTTGAATGTGAATGCCCATTTTGAACAAAAAAAAAGAGAAGTTCAAACCACTGTGCCGCATTGGAAAGTTGACAAGGAAGTGGACTATTGGAATCCCAACATCTACACCCACTCCTTCTTTCGGGGGGGGGGGTGTTCTACATTTCTGAAAGACAAGGGCTATACACAAGGGCTATACACAACAGATACCAAGCCCCAGACAAAATGCCCTATGCTGGAGCCATGAATTGATTTCTCCCACAAGGAGTTCAGGCTGATAGTGAAAACTGAAAACCATTTTGCCAGGATCATCCAGGATATCAAGTCCTTTGTCAAATACATTGAAACAAATTGTATTTTCAAAGCAGGAGAGTCCACTTTCTCTGTACCAATAGTGGTCCTGTCTCTTCCTATCCTTGGGAGAGAAAACTGAAGAGGCCAGCCCAAGGCTACTGATTCTCATCCCTCATCTGTCCTATTATGTTGATAAGGCTCTCTAGTCCAAACACATATCCCATATCAGGGCCATCATGTACAGTGGGGTCATCCCGAAAGCCTTTGAATGTGCTGTGTGCGAAGTCAATCATACGTACATCCACCTTGGGCTGGAAGGAGACGGATTCTGTGTTGCTGACATCTTGTAAGTTGTCAGCGAGGGAGAGGTCCACTTGTTTTAGGCGCACCTCTGCTTTGCGTTCCAGGTATGTCTCACATCGGGTATCCTTCCCATCATAAATAATGAGCAAGGAGCTGGAATAGAACCGATAAGAGGCCTGCCTCTCCAATACAGCCTTTAGACTCTGCAATTTGCTGAGGATGGGATCGAAAAGGTCCTTTCGTAGCTCTATGCCATTGTGCAGGTATTGGCAAAGGGCACTGCGAAAACCCTCAATGGAAAGACCTCTGCCATAATATTTGTTCCTGCACAAATAATGCCCTGTATTCAGCTGATAGACCTACAACACAAGGAGAAAGCGTGCATTAGTTTAGAAGCACAGTCACATTTTAGGATGGTAAGAAAACAAAGTGCTACTGATCCATTATTATTTTCTACCGACGGTCAAGGAAATATTTGTATTTTGAGATGGCAGTACTCATAAGGGCTGGCAAGAGGAAACAGAAGCATTGGATCAATCCTTCAAAATATAGTTTATACCAAGAAGAAAAAAAAGGAAGTGCCCTAATCTGCCAATTTAAATTATTACTAAGGGCATTCCTCTCCATTAGACTAAGTAGCCCAAAAAGCCCAGAGCACTAAATCAAACACAATATAGCTCAACAGTATTTCCAGGCAGATTGCTTTGTCTCCTGTGCATAATGCTAGCAGTTGTTGGATAAGGGTAGAAGCTTTAGTGTTTCCATACAGGAACAAAACCTCTTCAATCTCTTTCTTGAAATTAGTAAAACCCTGCTACACATTTTTAAAAGCCTACGGAGAAAACTGCTGACTGGGTAGCTAAATGCTTTTCAAACTAATTGCCCTAGGCATTCTCATTCCTAAGTAAAACATCCCACAAAGGTCATTAATCAAACAAAAGTTACAGAAGGAACAATTTATTTTAAAGTCACGCCATTCACATCAGCTTGGAAATTCAGAATATGGCTGTAAAATCAAGAGAAAGTTTTACAACGAAGATATTTTCCCACCCTGTGACCATCCAGCAGAGGGCACCAGCATGTAAGGAATAAAAAATACCTAGCTTTAAAAAAAAAAAGTCCCAAATCCTCTAAACCTCTAATCAATGAGGTAGTACCTTGACCAACCTACATTCCTGGTGCTTTGGGCGAACAGGCTTAGAAAAGGAGGTTAGATCCATGTTACATCTTTCCATCCTGAGAAACAAAATGCAATGCAATTTCCTCATGTCCAACCTTACTAGTCCAGTGTAATAAGGATTCTCTTATAATCTCAGACCAGGCCTGTTATTCCAGAAAGTCCCATGACTTTTATGGGAAATACCTAAGCTCTATCAGCTGGAGTACCTCTGCTGCTCAGAATTCAAGAGAACTGATCTCATTTAGCTAAGGAAGTTCACGCTATAGAGCTCTGTTGCTAAACACTGCATTATTCTGCAATTCCTCTACTCCAGGGGTCCCCAATCCTTTTGGCTGCAAGGGTTGACGGTGTCGGTGGCAGTGCACAGCAGCAGTGTGGGGGGGGAAGGGATTATCTCGCGCATGCGCAAATGAAGCTTCCCATGCTTGCCTGCCACTTGTGCAGCTCGTTTTCCGACGGGCTGCAGACTGCTACCAGTCTGCAGCCTGGGGGTTGGGGAACCCTGTTCTACCCCACTTAAAAATACAGTTCTATATTTATTTGGAAATAAATCATATCATGCCTTATGGATCTATTCCATGACAATTCACATAGCAATAGCATTTAAACTTATATCGTTTCATAGTACTTTACAGCACTTCCTAAGCAATTTACAGAGTCAGCATATGGTCCCCAACAATTTGGGTCCTCATTTTACCAACCTCGGAAGGATGGAGGGCTGAGTCAACCTTGAGCCAGTCAGGATTGAACTCCTGGCAGTCAGCAGAATTAGCCTGCAATACTGCATTTTAGCCATTGTGCCACCACGGCTCCTAGTACACATAGGATTTGTCATTCTTTTCTCCCACTGAGATCTGAATATTGTTCAGTGGTTTCAAGCGTTCCTTCTTCAGCTTTGCCCTTTAACTCACAAAGGGTTGAAAGGCTGAACTTGGATGAAAAGAGCTTGACGTTTTTTGCAATATTTGCTCATATGCTTTCCAATAACTCTAAAAATATGTGATCGGTTTAGGACAGTGATGGCGAACCTTTTAGAGACCGAGTGCCCAAACTGCAAACCCAAAACCCACTTATTTATCGCTGGGTGCCAGGTGGGCATGGCCCACTGGGTGGGCATGGCTGTGGTGGTCATGGCAGACTGGGTGGGTGTGGCCAAGGTGGGCGTGGTCACCTTGATGTTGCTTATGGGGAGGGATGGCTGTGGGGGCCGGGCAGGGTTGGGGGAGATCCAGGGGGGTCTCTGGCAGGTGGGGTGGTGGGCAGGAGGCTCATTTTGCAGGGTGAGGCGAGGCATGGCGGGGGTGCCATTGTCGCAGGGCAAGGCGAGGCAGGGGCCGGGGCGGCTGCTGCCTGACACCATTGGCCCCCGCACAGAGGCCAGCAAGCACATGGGGCCGACAGTGTCCGTCAGCAGCCATAGCCGGCCGGCCCCTCAACCGGCACACTCTGGAGTTCTGCAGCCCGCCACCAGCAATTCAGAGAAGCTGCCTCTAAGCTGGAAGGCCAGCCAACAGCTGAGGAGGTGATGCAGTGGGTCGTGCCCGGGAAAAGGAGAGCATGCGAGGCCAGGAGGGATGGGACAGTGGGGAGGGAAACCAGCCATGCTGGGATGCATCCGACCACGTGGGACCTCAGCGAGTTAGCGGGCAGCTGGTTGAAGAGGGATGGTTGCCATCTCCGGAGCATGGCACGCGTGCCCACAGAGAGGGCTCTGAGTGCCACCTCTGGCACACATGCCATAGGTTCGCCACCACTGGTTTAGGAGAAATAATGTGGTATGTATTCTGTTAATACAATCCTTTTTTTATCATTTTTATCCTATCCCACACATACCCTGTTCCCCAAATCTGTTCTGGCTGGACCATTTTTCAAAAATGGGGAAGAGATTCCAGGTTTCTGCAGAAGTTGGCACAATATCCAATGCTTCATACACACAGGAAGAGGTCAGCGGCCACATTTCGCTTGCGGTTCATACAGTACCTGCATTCCACAGACTCGGACTCCTAGTGTAGCTGAGGTGCTTTGTGCACATTTCTTCATCTGCCGAGCAGCCTTCTCCTCAGATGCATCATCCCCATGTTGTCTGGTCCCCATTTTCAAGTCAAGCACACAGGGAAGTTTGAAATGATGCACCACATTCTCCAGCAAAAGAAATTCTGAGATGCTGGTCAAGGAGAATTGGTCTCTTGAAGCTCTGTTGATTTCTACTGAAATACTAGAGGACATTCTATCACTGAGCATATGTGCAGACAGACCAAAGAATTCAAAGAAGGAAAAGAGTACTGTACTGTATGTACAACTTGGCCACCAAGAGATAGGAAGAATGTCAATTTTCCCTCTCAGAACTAATATTTGAGTGTTCGTGACTGAGTACTGGAAATGGCCAGAAGAAAACAATGTCACAGGGAACTATTTGCACCATTATAGTCAATACCTTATATCAGACATGTCAAACACAAGGCCCGGGGGCCGGATGCGGCCCGCAAAGTGGTTTCATGTGGCCCGCGAAGCCATCCTGGAAACAGTGAGGGAACGGCCCCCGCTGCCTTGGCCCAGGCCAGCCGGGAGGGAGCCAATGTACAATTTTGTGGTGGCCATCTATGCTGAAACGCATTCAGTCTTAGCTCCACAAGGTTGTCTGGAAACAGTGAGGAACCAGCCCCTGCCGTGTCGGCCCCGCCCCCTGGGTGCATGCTGGGGAAGTGTCACCCTTTGTGAGGAATGAAGAAATGCACCATCGCCTGGAAGTCGTCAGCAAATGGCCCTCGCCTACTTCACCTATCCGGCTTGATGGGTTCCGGAGGAGGGGTTTCAGCAGGCAGTGAGGCTCCTCCAGTGGACCATGCCTTGGCACTTGCCCCGGTCCCACCCCCTTCTGCCACAGACCCTCAGATCTGTCCCACTCCTGTCCAGGCCCCCACAGGCACCCTTGAATCGAACGATGTAGAGCTGGCCATGCCCACCCAATAGGCCACACCCACTCCATCCACACCCACCCAGTAGGCCATACCCACCCTGGCCACACACCCCCGCCCCTTCCGAGGGCAACTGCAATGCTGATGCGGCCCTCAGTGAAATTGAGTTTTGACACCCCTGCCTTATATGAAGAATAAAAGCAGACGTCCTTGTTAGAATCCACAGATACTGTGTAAAAGTGATCATGTTGTAAAACACTATATTGTGGCAGATTTTGCCACTTGGAGGATACTGTAGAGCTTTCGTTCCTTAGACTCCGAGCGCATGAGACTCAACTGTTGCTTGTGGCAACGCAAACTCCACGGGTTAAAGCTGATCTTCTCAGAACTAACACTACTATTTCCATCTAGCATCTGAAATGGAACATCTGAATGGAAGCTCTTGAGGCTCTTTGTGTCCTGGATGCTGTGGGGAACAACATAAGATGACAATGACGTTAAAAAGCCCTGCAATCGTAAGAACTGTTACAGCACAGAATAACATTTGGGTTGCTAAGCTTAATTCTTTCTTCTTTTTTTTAAATAATTCTCTAGAAGACAGGGAGCATGCCATGCCATGAACATATTGGCCAAACATTATCCTTTTTGTGCGTATTAAGGTGTTTGGAGGTAGCTGCCAGAAAGCCAGTGCCAATCTCTTATCATGGATCTTTGATTTTTAAAAGAAATCCAAGAGGATGCTTAAGAAAAGGAGTCTCTTAATTACCCATTAGAAGGAAAGCAAAAGAAACCAACCACAAACAACCTCCCCCCCCAAAAAAACCCACAAGCCAGTACCTTTCCGAGGTCTCAGAAGTGAGCCCTGCTTTCTCCTCCTTATGCTCACTACCACTGCCTGATTTGTTGAGGCTCCTGCGGGAGTGTTTACGACGTGGCTGGTCCCTCTCTGGTGTATCATCTTGCTCCAAGGTTTCGCTCTCCACATACGGATATGCTACCAGGTTAATGTAGCCATCACTGTCTCCCTCAAAACAGACAGACACTACACCTGCCAGAAATCAGCCATATGATTTCAGCATGCCTCACGTTAAGATTTTTAAATTAGTAGATCAGAAATAATAAAACTACTAATGGTTTTCCCAAGGAGCAGATTAGAGGGGGGGAAAAAATGAAAACGAGGCTCATAAACCCAGCTGCAGAACTACCAAGAAGAAAAAGAGGGCTAAGAAGCAATTCTATCATCTCTCCAATTTGAGTATCTCGTACCGCAATGTATTTATAGAATTCTTTTAAAAAAATAATTCTCTATAAATACTTAAGTATTTCCTCTTTTCAGTGGGTTATGTAAAGCTGCCGTGGGCTGAAAAACATAATGGTAGATCTCTGAATGAATTGCAATAGATCACTAAATGTTTTTAATTCCCACACAATGGCACCTTGGTACTCATTGCTAATTTGTTCTGGGAGGACGAGTACTGAGCAAACCACGTACTCGTGATTTACCACGTGACCCTTTATTTCGGCTGGAAGAAACAGCAAGTCACAAGACAGCCAATGCCATCAAGTTTACCTTGCATGTCAAGCATAGAGAGAAAAATGACTACTGAGACAAGATTTTTGCTTCAAAACGTATCAAGTACCAAATTCAACGAGTTTTGAAGCAGTCGAATACTGTGGTATGACTATAATTTAATTATCACAGTAAAATGTCCGACTTGTTTAGCCAAGCCAGGGGGTTCCCCAAAGTTGGAGAGATTGCAGAATTGGAGCCCCAACAGAGCTTCACGCCAGTCCTTAGTCCTGAAGGTTAGGTGGCTAGAGACAAGACAGTGTTATCCAGGGTTGGATGGTCAGCCATCAACGAAAGCAGCCTGGAGATGTCTTTTATTATGGTTGGTATATTATTCTGATGACGACTGGTCACAGTCAGCCGTATATTTACACTGGATTTGGCATTTTTATCCACCTATCAAGTCCTTCCCAAGAACTTGGGATAAGCAGGTGTGGTTGTTTGATGGAGTTAAAGATTATTCTTTTCATAATACTATTAGTTAAAATAGTATTTAATAATTATTTACAAATAATAAATGGGGGGGGTCAATGAACAATCTGGAACTTCACAAAGGGACTGGTGAATGAAGAGTTTGGAGATCTGTACCCTAGATTATTCTGCTGATATGAAAGTCTGGGATAACAGGCAATTGATTTGGAAATGTTATTTCCATTGAGGTCTGTCAGTTAAATTGGAGAATTCTTTTGTACTGTATCTTTTGCACTGGACTCCATTGGATCAAATCAGTCATCCGAACCTTAAATTTCTGCCTACCCTTGTAGAAAGCATTTGTTGTACCATAAATGGAGCAATTTAGCTTGAAGAGATACCAACTGTTGAATAATTGTTGCAAAACTGACCAATGGAAAAAGGAATTTATATACAAAAGAGAGAGAAAGAGAGAGAGAGAAATTCCACACTTTAAAATTTTCTTTTAAATAGACAGGCAACAGATATGTAATAGGTAAAAGCCTATAGATGTAAGAGAAGGACTGGCAGAGCCAGAGGGAGGAGTAAAAGGCAGGATCAGATAGAATCATTATGTAGACATAAACAAACTAAGCCCTCCTCGATTGCTGTTGATCCTTATCTAACTATAACCATGTGCTGACCATTAGCTGAGAAGATTGCTGTGTAAACTTTATAGCAATAAATCAGTTAAACTAAACATTCATATGTGGACCGGGTCTTTTGCACCTGACAATAGCACAGCAATTCCCAAATGATGGCCGTAATGGAGCCTGACCAATCCGATTTTATGGGGAGGGGTTTGCAGCAGTTGCTAAGTGAAAATAGGGTCATAAAATGAATGCAGCATTTGTTAAGCGAACCCACTGTTCTATATTGCACGGTTTTACCCAAATCCAGAAGTGCTGGGTTTTGGCAAAATCATCATGAGACTGTGGTACATTCACAAATGCAGCCATGTTGGCGAGCACCTGAAGTGTGGGCACATGACCACATTGGGGGGGGGGGCAGAATCAGACTTTCGGATTTGGATTGTAACTCCCCCCTTTTCTGGTAGGGTCGTAACTTTGAATGGACACTCGGTGACCAGTTGTAAATTGAGGACTACCTGTATATTCCACAACAGTGAACTCTTCTCTGCTAGATGGCAGAAACTATTATCAAGTTTGATTTCTTGTAAAGGAATCAATTTATGGGATAATATCCTCATCCAACTTATATCCAGCTTTTCCACCCAGATAAACATTGCCTACAATAAATATTGGCCATCACTGATCCATCTAATGCAGACATGTCAAACTTGCAACGTTACATGACGTCGCGTGACGTATCGGAGCTTTTTCCTCATTGCCGGCAATGGGGAGGGCGCGGTTTCCTAATGACACGTCCAGCCTGCGGGCTGGCAGTTTGACACCCCTGATCTAATGCAACAATAAATTTGTATAACTAAATTTTTGTTACAGAGGTAAACAAAATGAGGATGAGAGTATGTATTTAAAGGATCAGTTTTCAAATTCCAAAATGGCATAAGTGCCTTTTTTGGGAGTAGAGGAAAATATAGGGCAGCAATTTACATACTAATGGTGCACTATAAGAGCAACTAAATGTACTTTGGAGTCTGTTCCATGAAAGGTACAATAAATATTTCAGTATAGCTAGCATAGATTCAGCTCCAGTTATTAATTACTGAGTTTGTGCCCAGATAATGCCTTCCATAAGTCATCCCTGTCTGTTTGTTGGCACACTCACAACTTGCACACCAAACTTAATATTAAAGACTTTGCCTTATTAAATATTTTCCCAACAGTTTTAATAGGAAAAGCTATGTGGAATCCGGATATGTTTATCTTCCTCATTTGCTGTAATACGTTGAATATTTTAAAAAATCTGAAGCACTATAGAGAGAGGTCTGAAGATCTGTCTATGTCTGTGTATTTTTACACTCAATTCTTTTTCAGGCTTTCACATTTGTAGCTGTAAAGCCTCATCTATATTTGTAAGTAATATCCAGAGATGGAGCTCCATTTTTATTCTGTTTTAAATTTATCAGTCCTGATTTTTCTTAAAAGATTTAAATTAATTAGAATAGCAACTTTTCTGGTCCCTGCAATATCCCACTTGGTTCAGGAAATGAAATGTAGCAATTGTTTGTGATACAGTAATGCATGATCTCAAAATTCAAGGAAGACTTTATGTCTACCCAGCCCACACTTTCAACAATTTGAAACAGGACACATTTGACATACTGTACTCAGGCCTGTTAAAATTATGATTTTTTTTAACTAGAATGACCCAATTCAGTTATTCATATCACTAGTTAAAAAGATCCAAGTAATCATCACTTCCTAATACAAATGTTGTTTGATATAGCTATTATTCATCTTCATCAGAACTTATATATGTTTCATTCTGAATACATCGGTACACTCTACCCGTTATAAGGATTTTCATTAAGTTAATTTTCATCAAAAAAAATTGAATAATTATCTGTTTTATTTGATAGCAGAGCAGAAATATTAAGCAAACTACTTCAATTAATTATGGATGCTTACTGGATGTTTTTGCTATAGTACGCTAGTATAACTATCAGCAAATAGCTTATTTATACTAATTTTTATGCTTATTTAACTTTTATACTTGAATAAGTATAAAGGAAAAAAAGGAAAAAAAATTCAGTGAAATAAATATATGGCTTGTAAAACTAGTAATTCTTTTAAATGAATCAAATACAAATTCTGTTGTTTTCAACTTCAGGTGTTTTTCAAGGTTTTGGGATGCTTACCTTTGTACTCAGGTGTGAATTCCTTCATTTCTGGAGGCAAAGATTCATAAAAGCGTTGTTCCCGGGTTATGAGAGGTTTGCACACAGTGTGGTCATCGTAGCGCATCATGCTGCTGTGGCCGCCCACCTGATGGATGAAAGGCTCCAACAGGACCCCTCGGCTTCCTGTGTGGGTTGCGTTCTTGCCATGCTTCCCCACCTCCATGGTTTGACAAACACACATTGCGTAGGGCGCAAGTCACTGTGAACCCCGTACCCCTCTCGACGTACACCACCTTCCTCGTCAAAGAGTTTCTCTTTTAATAGTGGGGAGTCAATCTGATTACTTACTAAAATCCGTGGTTGTCGGACGTTTTGTTTTTTCTCTACGGTGTCTGAAACCAGTTTTCGTTACATTATTTGAGATGATATAAAACGACATTGTTAACAGGAATAACGTAGTGATGAATTGAACCCGTGTCAAGGAGTCTGAAGAGGCAAGATTCCACATTTGTTCTAAATTGTGCAGTACATCCAACAGTTAAGCTCCTACGCACAATGGCTTGTCCAATATAAACTAGGCAATTCTTTTACCATTATAGCTTAATTTCCTGTGTTTGCCTCTTGTCTGCCAAGTTTTAGGGATGGTTTTGTACTCAAAATAAGCAAGGCAGAAGTCTTGTCCCACTGCCACTGTTCTTTATTAATTAAAAGATGGAACATAGCACACGGTAAGGTTCTAACAGGAGGGGAATCTCTTTAAAATGACTGTTCAGCAATCCAGGTTTGAAGGGGAAAAGGTGATTCAGAACTAATCTGTCACTAGTCGATAACTAAAAATGGTGCATCTTTTATCTGGGTTCATCTAGAACAGGGGTCTCCAAACTTTTTGTTTTGGCAGCCTGGTGGGAGAGGGAGGGGCTTACATGTGCATGCCTTACGTGTGCATGCGCAAACGTGAATGTGGCCACATGCGCGTGCGCACGTACAAACAGGCTGGGAGCATGTGAATCACGCAAATGGGGCTGCGAGCATGCGCGTGAGGCTCTCAGCGATGGTGGTGCCTGTGTGAGGCTTGTGGCACCACCGCTTCCAGGCTCACAGCGATGCTACTACCAGCGTGATGATCGTGCCACAGTCCACAGCGCTGCCACCCCCGGTGCAAGGATCACGCCACTGCCACTGCACGAGGCTCATACTGCGGCCCACCTGCTGCTTGCGGCGCTGCCGCCGTCCACACAATACTAGCGGCGCTGCCGCTGCCCGCACACTTGTGGCAACGGTGGCACGAGGGGGGTGAGCACACGCACACACGCGTGTACTGCCCAGCTACTCACACAGCCCAGCAGCCATAGATTGGGGACCTCTGATCTAGAATATATATGTTTGAAATGTTTGCTCTGAATCATTTTTTACCCTTTGAATCAGGATAGTTGCATAGTTGTTTCTGTTTTATTAACCATAGAAGCAATAGAAAATAAATGAACTTATATAATACAGTCTAGTAAAACAAATGAAAATAAAGAGTCTGGCATTTTATATACTGCTCAAAAAAATAAAGGGAACATTTTAACATGGAACTGAAGGAGTTTGCGTTCCCTTTATTTTTTTGAACAGTATATATTTTCCTGTAACTGCTGGTAACTTTTGCCCCCAAAATTATACATGTCTATATTTCAGCTCATTCTAGAGACTTAAGAACACAATCAACTGGACACCACAAAGTGCAGGAATCAAGATGTGGATATAATATAACATAGTGGGTATTATAGCTACTAATGGCTATTCAAGAAAAAAAAATTAATACAAACACTTCAAAACAATTCTTGTCACTTTGCTACATTGACAGATTTGGCCAAAATAAAATATTCAGTGTTTAAGCTAGTTACACAGCCTATTTGTATTTAAGAGCTGATTTTTGAATTACATTGCCATCTAAAAACCATTAGATAATCATCTGCAATTGTTCGTACTCTCCACAATTTCACGTAAGTGACATTCACATGTAATGATTGCCTACATGGAAATATTTCATACTGAAGCATTAACCAAAGTGAGTTAAAAGAGCAACAGGGGACATGTGAATAAAAATTCAAAGAGAACTTGGAGTGGGAGAATGGAGCTCTAGTTTTTATTTAATTGACCTTGCCATGTTTTTAAAAAAATCCAAATGTTTCAGCTTCAAACAAGAAGGAATAGCTCAAGGAGAATTATACAACATTAGCGGAACATTCTGATGAAGCAGGAAAAAAACACCATATAACCTTAAAGGGGGAAAAGCTTAATCATCAGACTAACTAAACATAAAACAGATCCCGTTTAAATGAGTCCAGATTTACAAAATCAACAAAACAGGTTAAGTAGACATTTCCTTTCCTCTAACTATAGTCTGAATATTAAATGCACACTGATATAGGTTCCAAACAAAGCATATCTAGATTTGCATGCTGAGGACCCTTACTTAAGAGAGCCAGTTCTCACCATCCATATACGTTTTAAAGCATTTTCCTTTCAAGCTAACAACTCATGCGGCGCAAAACACACACACACACACACACACACAAAACCCCAAACATTTTGAATGCCATAAAAGTGGGAATTTTGTCAAATATAATTTCCTGCAGAATCAATGCAGGCCAAGGATTTCTTTATAGCACTGAATTCTTCCATTTGTTTTTCTTTTTATATACCATTTCATTTAGTTTCATTATCCAATTAAGTAATGAATTTAAGTTTCAATACTTCTGATCGTTAACAAGAACCTTGCTTTGACAAACATGTTTAATCTTCCTCTCCTCCTCCTCCTCCTCCTCCTCCACCACCACCACCACCACCACCACCCTTTGGATATCAAGGGAGATACAAAATTCTGTTTTTTGCTCTCCTGGCAGCCTCAACCATTTTGTTATCTGAACTCTGGTGAAGAAGTTGTGACAGCCCCAGCAAGTCAGCAATGGATTATATATCGCTACAGAAATTATAATAAGATGCAAATGGAATGATCTTCCTTTACAAGTTTCTAAAGTTAAAAATAAGCTCTGTATTTGTAATTCATATTCTCACCAGGAGTTCTCAGACATATTAAGGTTGCAGAAGTGTTTTTTTCCCCCCAGACCCTCTGATTCACAAACATGGTTATCCTCCCTCACACACAGTGGCTTTCCTGCACGAGCTTTTTGACTTTATTGCTAGGTTGGTGAGCCAGCTTCTCAAATTGATACGTTTTATTTTTGATTCGTTTTATTTATTATTATTTATATGCTGCCCACCTCGCCATTTAGCGACTCTGGGCGTCTTGAGTTTTGAGACAATTCAATCTGCCTTCTCTTTCTGAGGGATTCGAAGTGGCCTGGGAGTTGACGGCCTTCCCCTTCCCTTGACAGAAATATGCAAGAATGTTTATCTAGGTAACAAGGATTGAAACATTCTTTATCTCCTAGGAAGCAAGATAATATTCAGAAGGGGCTCAAGCAAACTGTGCGATTCACTGGAATAAAAGGAGAGGAAGTTAAAGCATAGCCAGACTTGCGAGATTCCGTTCTGTAGCCTAACTCGATAAAGTACAATACTAAACTTCCTGTGCAGTTTTTTTCTTTGCTCTCTGATCTACCTCGTGCAGTTGATACCGAGGGGCCAAAACACATAGGTTATAACACCTGCGGGAAGTCAGAGCCCCAGAGAAGGAAATATTAAAAGGGCAGAAATATATATGTCCTCGAAAGTATTTTAAAAAGCAGAAACCAACTTTGGCTCCAAATCTCTCTGCCCCAAGCAAGACCTAGCCCCATACAGATGCAGATGTAACACCATCAGAAAGTTGAAGCCAGAGCAATCAAGAAGACAAAGAGAAAATCTGCATGCCCCACCCAAACTCTAGGAGTCATTAGCCCCATCACCTGGGAAGCAGGATATGATAATAGGATTAAACCACAGATATCAAGGCCTAGAAAAACACTCAGAAATAGCCTCAAAGTTCATGCCACAGGAACAGGAAACTATTCCAANATTCCAAACAGGGCTAGAGGGGGTATAAAAAACCTTCTACCCATGTGCTCACTCTCTTTCTTCTCCTCTGCTCCTTCTTGCAAGGACCATCTTTCTTCTGCAATAAACTGTAACCTTCTTCCCAAAGGAGTCGCCATGTTTGCTTATTTATTCCCGGCTTGGATGAACCAGGATGAAGACTTACTTCTAACACACCTTACATCTGCTTTTTGTCTCAGAATAGCTGCAATATGGTATGAAATTGGAAGACATTAACACCTATCCCTTGCCATTGGTCAGATCACTCTGGCTGTTTTAGAGCTTTTTAGTGCTCCAGGAAAAATAAGCCCATTTGATCAATCCATTCCAGGTACCTGGGAGATCTAAAATTTTTCAGAGGGAGCTCGAGGGGGGGGGTCCTGACGCTCTAGTGATCAGTATAATACAGGCTGTCATTACCTCTCTGCAAGCTAACTCTGCCCAAAGCCAGGAGTTTGATCCTGACCGACACAAGATTGACTCAACCTTCCATCTTTTCGAGGTCGGTAAAATGAGGACACAGATTGTTGGGAGGGGGAATATGCTGACTCTGTAAACTGCTCAGAGAGTGCTGTAAAGCGCTGTGGTGTGGTATATAAGTCTAAGTGCTACTGCTATTTCTATCTCCTGGAACAAAATTCTTGGATAAAAGTGCCCAGAAATGGCCCTTTTCAGAACCCTGATCCTTGTTTCTCTGGAGAACACTAGGAAATATAGCAGCACAAATGACATCTAGAACACTGCTGGAGAAAGACAAAGAATAAATCCAAATGAATATGTAAATAAATCCATTTATAACACATTCCAGCAATAAGAATGGCAAAATACAGCTATTTTCCCACTGCTATTGTGTCAGGTTATCAACTAGCAGCCCTTTTTAAAATATTATCTGGAAGAACCTTAAACCTGTAAGTCTCCAGGAAGTGGATGGTGTTCTCAGATCTGTCAACACTGCCACCTAAACATTAAAACCATATCCTGTAAGCAATGGAAGTAGCAAAAAGTGTCTAGTTGTCTTTATAAACTAGACTATATCAAGATAGCAGTTACTATTCACAGAAAGAAGAGTTAAAAAATGAAGGATGGAACAGCATTATGAACTTGAGAAATCAAACAGAAATTCAAAAGCACAAAAGACTGTAATGAAATAAGTAGGAAAGATTTAGAGGGAACTGATCAATCACAAGATAACTAATGATACGACTGCAAAGATCAAATTGG